GGCCGGGGGAGGGGCGGGGGGGCGGGGACTCTTACCTGTACTTGCGGTTGACCTCATCGGCCGTGAGGGCGTGGTCAAACATCAGCACCTTGTGGTTGTTCTGCAGCCGCGGTCCGGTGTAGTTCTGGTTCTCCAGTCCAACCGCAGCGTCCAACAGGGACAGGTACCGTCGGACAATCAGGGCGTACGGACCGTCTGTGGACACAACGACGACACGGTCACTGCCTGAGCGGCCCACACCGCTTTATGTGAAGTCGTCTCGGCTACTGACTGGTGACGTTGCTGATGAAGGTGGAGGAGAAGACACGGTGCAGAACCGGGCCCGGAAAGTGACCCAGCTGAAACAGGGACATCAGGATGTTGACCGTGGCCAGGGGGGAGCTGAGAGCCTTCAGCTCCAGAACCTCCTCCAACCGTGAGAAGAACTGCTGCTCGTTGGACGGACGGTAGCTCATCCCGCTGAACCAGCTTCTGGATCACCTGCAGGTCACAGACATAATGACATGACAAGAACCAGGGCCGGGGGAGACCACCCCCCCCCCCCCACTCCCTCACCCCCTCACCTTGCTGTCCAGAAACTCCGCCTTCTTCACCAGGAAATCGGCGATAGTGTCCAGCAACTGCGTTTCCCTCAGACGGTGGCGGGCGATGTATTTAGCGATGAGTGCCATGGTGTACGGAGAGATGCCGTCGGACTTCTTTGGAAGCTCCTCTGAGACAGACGGACAACAGACGGACAACAGACGGACAACAGACGGACAGACAGGTCACATGGTGAGACATAAGCTCCGCCCCCAAAGTTAAACGTTAGTTTTGTATTTTTCAGTTCTTCAAGTAAAATGACTACAACAACAATTAAACTACTGAAATGGTTAACACTGAACAGCGCCACCTGCTGAAATCGTTTCAGTGAGTGACAGTACAGTCGGAGCAGTCAGGTGGTCACCTGCAAGGCTGCCAATAAACTTTTCCTGTCGGTTCTGGTAGAACAGGTGAGAGCTGAAAATCAGTTCCAGGCTCTTATTACTGGCCTCTCGAGCGCAGGTGGCCAGCATCTCGTCCAACAGCGCCATCTCCTGGTCTCTGACACCGCTGATGCTGGCTAATGTGTGTTTGACCAGCCGCAGGATTTTCCTGGGGGGTGGAGCGCAGACACAGAGTTAGCATGTTTGTTTGCTAACCCAGCCCGCTGATGCTAACTACTGTTAGCTAGTGATAAACTGTTCCCGTTGAACTGTTTCTAACTCTACTCCTAGAATGTTCCTTCTTCATTTAGCCGACTATCTGAGCTAGCCTTTAGCCATCTCGCTGCTACATTTAAGTAACAGGAATGTATTTAGCATCTGTTCCAGATAACCTTTATCTTTACCCTAACTTTTCCAAGTTTGTCGTGGAGCGGCTCATTTTTGGCTAATCATTAGTGACTCGACTGTTGTCTGGTACCGTTTTCTGACTGACTTCTAAGCAGACCTGGCGTCTGCACGTGGACCAGTGTGTTTAGAACAACCCTGCTAACACGTCATGTGACCACGAGGTTCACCTGTTAGCCAGGAGTTGTTCTGGATTCAGAGGTGTGCCGCTGCCCCCTGTGGCGGATTCCTGGTGTTGCAGCGAGTGCCACTTGAGTCTGTAGTAGGACAGCAGCATGAAGAGTGTCTGAGGGTGGCGCTCTCTCTCCAGGTTCTTCTCCAAACAGGCGAGGCAGGCCTCGGTCAGAGGGTGCTGGACCCCAGGGTGGAGCTTCATGCTGGAGCTGAAGACCATGGACACGTCCTTCTGGTTAAACTGGTTCAATCTGGACTGACACTCTGCCTCTAAAACCTGGACCAGCTGGGAGTCACTGGAGAGACCTGAGGACGCAGAACAAGACGGGTGAGACCGGGCCGGACGGGACCGGGCCTGGGTCGGTCAGGGACTTACCCAGTGAGGCCACGGCGTACAGGCAGTTGACGATGCTGAAGTTGTCCAACTTGGAGCAGTTGTTGATGATGGCGTCACAGAGCGTCTGAAAGTCCTGATGCTCCAGGACGTTTTGTTCGACGCCGACCTTGACTTTGCCTCCTGCCTCCGCCTCCTCTCTTTCGGGGCGTAGGGAGGGCGAGGCCTGCAGCAGCTGACCGATCTTCTGCAGGGCCACGGGGTAGTGGTTGTAGGAGATCTTTGCCGGGTTCTGAGTGACCCAACGCAGAACCTCGTCAGGTTTCCTCGAGCGCTCGATCAGGCGCTTCATGGTGAAGAAGGTGTCGTAGCTCATCTTCTCATGGATGAAGTTCCACGCCTTCTTCTTACCGGCCGTGGCCACCGACACTAGTTCTGCCATTAAATGATTTATTCCATTGCATTATTCCAAAACAGCATTTTCTTGCTTCTGGTATAGCTTCTGTCTTAAATGAGCAAACTTAACTTGTTGCTTGTGCCTCTTTTTAATGGACACTTTGTCTGACCAATATGACTGCAGAGCTATTTACAACACTTGTTTTTGGGTTAGGGTGCCACCTTATGTCAGTATGTTTTTCCAGCAGCCTAGTATGATTAGGATGATGCTGATGCAACTGATAAAAATCCTCTTTTGTATGTGAAAATGCACCATGCTTTTTAAATTGTTTTTTGTTCATATCTACAGTATCACCTTTTATTGTCACTAATTCTAAAAAAAGAAAAAAACTTCAACCTTTGGGAATTTCAAAGAATGAACAAAGGCTGCAATTTCATCTCCAGATCTAACCAACGTGCATGACTAGGAATCTATCAAAGGTTGAAGTGAAATGTGTAATAATACAGTCAATTTACAATACAGTGAAATCCCACAGCATATGATGATGACTGAGAACATTTCAGTGTTAAATGAATCATTACGTCACAAAAATAAATGCATTTTTCTTTTTACAATAACCACTAAACACAGATATGAGACTAAAGAATGTACAGAAAAATATTTATATTTATAAATTTGAACTGAAAGGCAATTTGTAAATATTATCTATGAATGAAACTAAGCATGTCTGAAATGTCAATGGAATTACAGAAAAAAAATGCACTATATACTGTAGATTTCGATATTTTGTTTCAATAAATACCTTCTGCAAGTTGTACTGCTGGGTGAATGTGTTTTCTTCAGAAAAAGAGCAGAAAAATCAAGAGCTTTTAAAAAATTGAAACGTTATATAATTTTATTTGAAGTTTATAATAAATGACTGATCAAGTTATGACCTCAGCAAACCATCTGAAGTCTTCACTTTAAAATGATGTAAAATCAGGTATATTTGTAAAGAAGCAGGAAAAACATGGCGAGTACAACTGCGGACCAGTCGAGGTATTTAAACTCATGGCTTCAAGACAGAAAACTCAAAATTCACATAGTGGTTATTTTATTATTTTTATTTCCGAAGTCATGAGTAACAAAATAATCACAAAGACTTACAGATCATTCTTTACTGTTTTACAAATTGATTCACATGAAACCTCACCTAAAATATAAACATGCTTTGACAGTGCTTTTATAATAAGTAAAAAAACAATATTCCCAGAATTCCTTTTGGATTATGGTGAGATTAACTCATTATATGATAGTTTGCCAATCTGTACGTTAAACCGTTTGTATTGCTTTGTCCCTTAGAAGGTCTCACACTCTGTGTCCTGTGTGGAGCAGATGGCACAGTGGCAGTGCAAGGCCATTGGATAGTGGTAGAGAGAAGAGATGTTGGGTTGGCAGCCAGGCAGCCGGGCGGTCATGTGACGTATACGGCTGTACGTGCATACACGGTGATGCCTCTGGATGTAAGGAGGTTCCGGCACTGGTTTCTGAAAACAAAGGTGGCACAGTTTATAAGATGAGACTGTGTGCTGTGCAACTGCGTTTCCCTCAGACGGTGGCGGGCGATGTATTTAGCGATGAGTGCCATGGTGTACGGAGAGATGCCGTCGGACTTCTTTGGAAGCTCCTCTGAGACAGACGGACAGACAGACGGAAGACAGACGGACAACAGACGGACAACAGACGGACAACAGACGGACAACAGACGGACAACAGACGGACAACAGACGGACAGACAGGTCACATGGTGAGACATAAGCTCCGCCCCCAAAGTTAAACGTTAGTTTTGTATTTTTCAGTTCTTCAAGTAAAATGACTACAACAACAATTAAACTACTGAAATGGTTAACACTGAACAGCGCCACCTGCTGAAATCGTTTCAGTGAGTGACAGTACAGTCGGAGCAGTCAGGTGGTCACCTGCAAGGCTGCCAATAAACTTTTCCTGTCGGTTCTGGTAGAACAGGTGAGAGCTGAAAATCAGTTCCAGGCTCTTATTACTGGCCTCTCGAGCGCAGGTGGCCAGCATCTCATCCAACAGCGCCATCTCCTGGTCTCTGACACCGCTGATGCTGGCTAATGTGTGTTTGACCAGCCGCAGGATTTTCCTGGGGGGTGGAGCGCAGACACAGAGTTAGCATGTTTGTTTGCTAACCCAGCCCGCTGATGCTAACTACTGTTAGCTAGTGATAAACTGTTCCTGTTGAACTGTTTCTAACTCTACTCCTAGAATGTTCCTTCTTCATTTAGCCGACTATCTGAGCTAGCCTTTAGCCATCTCGCTGCTACATTTAAGTAACAGGAATGTATTTAGCATCTGTTCCAGATAACCTTTATCTTTACCCTAACTTTTCCAAGTTTGTCGTGGAGCGGCTCATTTTTGGCTAATCATTAGTGACTCGACTGTTGTCTGGTACCGTTTTCTGACTGACTTCTAAGCAGACCTGGCGTCTGCACGTGGACCAGTGTGTTTAGAACAACCCTGCTAACACGTCATGTGACCACGAGGTTCACCTGTTAGCCAGGAGTTGTTCTGGATTCAGAGGTGTGCCGCTGCCCCCTGTGGCGGATTCCTGGTGTTGCAGCGAGTGCCACTTGAGTCTGTAGTAGGACAGCAGCATGAAGAGTGTCTGAGGGTGGCGCTCTCTCTCCAGGTTCTTCTCCAAACAGGCGAGGCAGGCCTCGGTCAGAGGGTGCTGGACCCCAGGGTGGAGCTTCATGCTGGAGCTGAAGACCATGGACACGTCCTTCTGGTTAAACTGGTTCAATCTGGACTGACACTCTGCCTCTAAAACCTGGACCAGCTGGGAGTCACTGGAGAGACCTGAGGACGCAGAACAAGACGGGTGAGACCGGGCCGGACGGGACCGGACCTGGGTCGGTCAGGGACTTACCCAGTGAGGCCACGGCGTACAGGCAGTTGACGATGCTGAAGTTGTCCAACTTGGAGCAGTTGTTGATGATGGCGTCACAGAGCGTCTGAAAGTCCTGATGCTCCAGGACGTTTTGTTCGACGCCGACCTTGACTTTGCCTCCTGCCTCCGCCTCCTCTCTTTCGGGGCGTAGGGAGGGCGAGGCCTGCAGCAGCTGACCGATCTTCTGCAGGGCCACGGGGTAGTGGTTGTAGGAGATCTTTGCCGGGTTCTGAGTGACCCAACGCAGAACCTCGTCAGGTTTCCTCGAGCGCTCGATCAGGCGCTTCATGGTGAAGAAGGTGTCGTAGCTCATCTTCTCATGGATGAAGTTCCACGCCTTCTTCTTACCGGCCGTGGCCACCGACACTCCGGCAGCAGCCCCCCCCCCATAAGAGTGAAAGTGGACTTGGTGCTGGTAGTGGGGGGGTAAATGGGGCGGGGCCAGGGGGCCGTGGTAGTGGAAATGGGCCCCGCGTTGAGCGTCAAACGGACGGCCCTGGTACAGATGGTAGGCAGACGTGGGTGGAGCCGAGTGTTGAGGGTGAGTGAGGGGGGTGAGGGAGGGAGCCTCCATCATTGTCAATGAGCGTCGTCCCTGTTTGACTGCCCCCCGTGCACTGCCCCCACCTGCCCCCGCAGCAGGGCTACTGTAAAGGCGAGTGGCATACATGAGGGCAGAGCAAGCTGACGGGTGGAGGCGGAGTCCTCCGCTCAAAAGGCTCCGCCAAGTGGACAAACAGAACATTGTCCGAGATTCAGGCCTGCGGGCGGAATCACAACTCTCCTGAGGAGGAAGAACGGGACAAGAGGAAGAGGAAGAGGAAGAGTTGATGTTAGAGCTGGGCCATTCATCAAAGTTTGATTTCAATTACAGTGAAAACAAGACACTGGAAATAACTGGACGACTGTTCCAACAGTCAGATGTCAAGGCTACAGCACACACATACAGTACAGTGACGTTGTTCACACTAGAACCTGTCGACCACTCAGAGCAGAACAGCCGGAATAAACCCCGCCCACAGAACAGAACAAAACAGTAACAGTCAGTAACAGTCAGTAACAGTCAGTAACAACTCCACCGCCCCAACAAGGTACAATCATATATTTTCTCACTTTGTCTTGTTTTTTTTTTTCACGCTCAATAATGTTCAATAAAAGCAAATTCTCAAATCAATGAATAATCGTTTTGAATAATCGTGATTTCAATAAGAATCGAAATAATCGAGCAGCCCTGGGTCATGTGACAGCAGAACACCGCTGTCCTGTGAACATGACGTCACAGGACAGCAGTTTTAATCCATTTAAAAACAGCATCACGTGATCAAAGACCACGACAGGCTGACGGTGACGTTTCCTTTTTTAATCTATCAGTGGAAACGGTTCTCCCTGACCTCCACCAGTGGAGGGCGCTGCCTGCCGGCCGTGACGTGGTTCAACACCTGTCGAGTGGCCTGCCTGCTACTAGCTTTAGCATTTCGGTGCTTGAATTATCGTCTCCAGATAACTCGTCACTGCTGACATGAAAATGTCCGCTGTGACGTCACACAGTGGACCACGCCTCTTCCGTGTGAGTTTGAAGTTCACAGGCTAATGTTAGCAGCTGTCACTTAGCAACCCATTTAACCCAAGGCTGGTTAAACACAAACGGAGGAACCAACACAGACTTCAGGCTCCGAGTTGACGAGTGACCGCGGGCTGCGTCGGTATCAACGCCCTGTTCTCACTGCGATGCCATGACGGTTGTAGCGGTTAGCACAGTTAGCACAGTTAGCCAGTGGGATCAGCAATTCCACCCTCCTGTCTCGGTCCTCAGGTGTTTGGGTTTTTTACCTCATTTCTGTGAATAATCCACTGCTTCGCTGGTGTAGACGTCAAGGAGGAGCCGAGGGCGTGAAGGGCGCTGCGGTACCGGGCAGCAGGCGGACGAGCCGCTTCATTCCTCCACACAGACCACTGCTACCATCAGCGGCTACCCGGCATGCACCAGGAGCAGGAGCGGAAGTTTTGTGACAGTCGAAAACTTCAAACGGTGCTGGCCTTGATTACAGGTTTAGCACCCCCTGTAGGAACAGAGTGGAGCTGCGGAGACTATAGAGTGATTTAAGGTCGGACACTTTATTCTGTCCCCGCAGCGAAGTTCTTACTGAGGTCGAGGGACAAGAGCATCAAAAATCTAACCGTGACGGAACAGAAAACAAAAACAAAAACAAAAGAAGATTGTTTTATTTTTAAAATAGCACTTTATTAACAGCAGGTGTAGAACATTGAAAACTCTTTACTCTATACCTTATATGTTGGGGCTGTACTTGTGTGGCACATGGTACTTCACCTGGTCCTTACTTTAGCACTAGTGATTAGCATCTTAAAGTAGAACTACGTTTATCATTTTTAATTTTTTTTTTTTTAATGAATAAACTCCTGAAGACGTGTGTGTGTGTGTGTGTGTGAAGACAGAGCAGAACCTCAGGCCCCAGGAACCCACAGTCTGTACCGGAACCGAGTGTCTCCAATAGGGGGCAGAGTACCCAGTCCCCCTCTCATCCGATTAGGACAGGGTCTGGTCTGACCCTCGTCCACCTGGACCTCGAAGTTGAGCAGCACCACGGAGATGAACAGTTTGATGGAGTAGAGGGCGAAGCCTTGTCCAGGACACCTGGAGGCGCCGTAGCCAAAAGGCAGGAGGTAGTGCTTCAACCTCTGACCGTTTTTGTAGAAGTCGGTCTTTTTTTGGCCATCCTGAACAAATCGATCAAATTTGAACGTCTGGTAAAAAAGAAAAAAAATAAAGGCTTCAGGCTTCAGAAAACCATCACCACTGAGGAAATAAGTCAAGACCAAAGTCCATAGAGAAAATCAGAGATTTTAGTTCAGACCAAAGTCCATGGAGAAAATCAGAGATTTTAGTTCAGACCAAAGTCCATGGAGAAAATCAGAGATTTTAGTTCAGACCAAAGTCCATGGAGAAAATCAGAGATTTTAGTTCAGACCAAAGTCCATGGAGAAAATCAGAGATTTTAGTTCAGACCAAAGTCCATGGAGAAAATCAGAGATTTTAGTTCAGACCAAAGTCCATGGAGAAAATCAGAGATTTTAGTTCAGACCTTGGTCTGTGATTAGTTCACGGCAGCAGATGATCTAAAAAGCTTTTAATCAGTTGAATTCACATGTTTATCTGTTGGAGAACGTGTACATTGGTGGTGTTATTAATTAGTTAATTAGTAATTAGTGACTGGATCAGTGATTGGTCGGTACCTCGGGGTCGTCGTAAATCTCGGGGTCCATGTGCGTGGAGAGAGGAAACAAACCAACGATGTCTCCTTTCCTGACGTGGACCGACCCTGCACTGCCTAACTGGATGGTTGTGTCCTCCAGGACCAGACGTGGGGGAATGGACGCCGCCGACACCCGGAGACCTTCATTAACAAGACTGTCTGTAGGGGCGGAGCCAAATCTGTGGTTACCCTGACGTGGTGTGTGTATGTGAGTGTGAGTGTGTGTGTGTGTGTGTGTGTGGACAGCACGGTGTACCCAGGTAGACAAGTTTGTCCAGGTCCTCCCTGGTGAGCCTCACGTCTGTGCTGAGCTCCGTGTCACCGAGTCCACAGTTGTCCTTCAGCTCCGCCCGGAGTTTGGCCGTCGCCTCCGATGACGTCAGAGCGCCGTTCAAACACCAGAAGGCCGACGGCACCGTGTTGATCGTGGACGCCCAGAGGATGGCAAAATGATGAGCTGCAGGAAGAGGCGGGATGTGAAGAAGATAACTGCCCCCCCATCGCCCCCCCGTGGCCCAGGTCAGAGACTCAGGTACGCCCCCTACCTGCTTTGTGGATGTCCTGCATGTCGTCGTACTGATCAAAGATCTTCAGTCGGTTCTGGGTGAACAGCGCGCTGTTGGACCAGCTCTTCATCTTCTGTGGCAGGAAGTACTCCTGAAGAGTCCTGCGGTTCCAGGAGGTTCTGCCCAGCAGCCACACGGGGCACTGCGCCGCCAGGAACGGGAACATCCTGTCAAAGTCGTAGAGTTTTTTCCTCCACACCTGCAGGTCTGAGCGGCGGCGGCGGCCGTCGTCGTCGTCGGGGGGTTTACCAAATATGGTGAGGATGACGGCGGTGAAGACGGCAGAGGAGCAGAACTCCTCCACAGTGGTGCTCCACCAGCCCCCGGGTCCGGGGGGGGTGGCCTGCTCTCCCACATGGTCTTGACGGAGAACGAGCATCAGGTTGTCCCTGAAGGACCCCAACATGGCCTCCACATTCGCCCCCTTTAAGAACTGATGGCCACGCATGACCTGCTCCTTCAGGCCACGGTTGGGGTTGTTGGTGAGCGGCGGAAACCCGAAGGCGTACGAGGAGATCCTGTCTGAGATGGGATGGAAGTCCAGCTGTGGTCCGTGCTTCATGACGTACGGGTAGAGCAGAGGGTTCATGACGAAGGTCATGTACCGACCTGTGGGACGGAGCGCTCCACGGATCAGAACCAACAACCGCCGTGTTACTGTGGAGAGGAGCAGAAACACTCACCGAACAGTTGGACCGTGAACACGTCGCCGTGAATCGCCCGCTGTTCTTCCAGAAACTTCTGAGCATCTCGTCCGTACGCCAGCGCTTTCCCAACATATGGAATCCAGCCGTCAATCAAAGGAGGCTCCCCCGGCTGCCTGTCAAAATAAGAGTCATCACCTCCACTTTGACGCTACTGTTTTTCAAAATAAAAGACTTTTTTCACTGGAAGTCTGACTCAGCACACACACATGCATCTCCTTAAGGCCATCTGGAAGGTGACGCTAATGACCCCGCTGACCTTCAGCAGAGCGTCCTCACACACACACACACACACACACACACACACACACACACACACACACACACACACCTCTGTGGTGTTTTTGTCGTTTAGTGAAATACGACTCTTCTA